CCCAAACGTGCATTTACAAACAGATAGAGGTTTTTATGAACCCCCATTCCATTGTTTTAATAGCTGAGCCACCCAGCCATGGCAGAATAGTGCACGAGGTAAATGTGTCTACGTCTCCAGAACCTGCTCCAAGTTTTCTCAGATGTGACTAACTGCAAGAATTTCCCAACCATCAAAAGTTAATAAAAAAAAAAAGACAAAATCAGGCAGGGTGGGTCTGAGCCCTTAGTAGGAGACACCACCCCAAAGTGGAGGGGCTCTGAGAAACCTGAAGCCTCATTTTACCAAGGTGTTTTAAGTAGGTACCTGACTGCAAATGTAGATCTGGTGAAGTTAATATCCTTAAAATTAGATTCACAGTTAAATACTTCCCTAACCAGGATCTCAGCTGAGACTAGGATTGTGAGATACCTGCCCCAGGGCATCTTCAGAGATTAGCCTTTAACTAGAGAATAGCTGCAACAGAAACACTTGTTTATTCTCCTTGCAGCTCCCAGCGTGGAAGCACAAAATGAGAGGATGCACAAGTGTCTTTATCTTGTTAAAATCCATTAGAACTACTCCTACATTCAAATTATTCCTATGCTAAAATTATTCCTAGATACTTCATCCCCAGAAAATATGATGATTTTCCATAAGGCTCCAAGTTACAGGAAGCAGCACATGAAGAAAAGCAATGACATTTAAAAATCAAAGATATTTGATGTGAGTCAGAGGGGATTATGACTCTTAGCTACAATATAAATTGCTGTAAATATTTGTAGTAATTGCTTGATATGGTGTTTTTCTAGCTGCTTAAAAACAGTCAAAACAGCACTAAATGCACAGCCACAAGGGACCAGCTTGAGAGCAGGTAGACTGTTATTGCCTCCCTGAAAAAATGACAATTACCAGTGGAAAAAAAGTGGTCTCTGAGCTCAGATGCCAACACTGAGAACCCTCCCATGGACAGAGCACAGCCAAATATTAACTCAATCTTCTGCAGCCAATATAATTTCATTTTCCATGAATCTAAGTGAAAACGGCAGCTCCTGCATTTAATTAAAATACACTATTTTGACCATATCCTCTGTTTTCAGTCTTCACATTTTGAAAGGTTAAGATGGCAAGTGCTGACAAAGAGTGACCTACATTAAGCTCTAATCCCTGGACATACAAACTGAGAAAAAAAAAAGTGTATTAACCATCAAAATGGTTTTGACTGAAACTCGATACTGGCTGTGAAAGTTCTCTGTGAGCTCCCCAAATCACAAGTGAACAGCAAAATACCCAACAGCTTCAGTGGAGTCATAATTCCACCTTTGGTTTGGGTGCCCTCTGTAAATATGGAACTGCTGCACAAGCCAAAAAGAGTTTAGATTTAAATCTGTACATACTGAAAAATGCAGGAAAAAAATGGACACACTTCTTTACAAATGAATAAAAAGTATTCACAGACTGAAGTGAAAATTGAGTTTTCACTTACCATTAAATCTTCAGGTGCTGGTCTTTCCTTTGGCTGCTTCCTCATGCTGTGTCATACAACACAATAAATATAAAATAAAAGCAACTGCTCAGTTATTCTACATGCTTAAATATTGAATTATCTTTTATATCTCTTTTATCACAGAGTGAAATTCGAGGATTTTTTTTAATGTTATCAGGTGCTGATGGAAGATTGGTCAAAAAATATAAATGGATTTTTCCCTCCCTTCCAGCCATCCCTTGTGGGATGGAGGATGTTTGTAACCATGTAAAGTGTATAAATACAGAGACCACTGAAATCCAGTCAGCTCAGAAGGCACAGGGAGAGCTGATTCCCATTTTTCTGGGGATTATGACACAAAGAATTATCCAAACAGGTGGGGGAGACAACTCCACCACTGAACAGCTTCGGGAGCACACGCAACACCCTGGGGTTTCTACCTTCATTTTTTCCCATTTATTTCCACCACCCTGCAGGGTGATAGTTCATTACCCAGCATTAACCTGTTTATAAGATCATGTTTCTCATCCGAACAGTCCTAGTTTTCCATGCAACAGGTGCAATTAGCTCCTGAAGGCTGTGCTGAGCTGCATGGAGGAACACAATAGCGTGGCACAGAGGTGACCATCAGGAGCTGCCCACTGACTAATTGGATTCAATCCAAGCAGCCAGGGTTTATGGCATAACTGGCATAAAGTCTGGGATGCTGCTCACTTGACATCCCTCATGGTTATTAGCAACTGATTGCTTAAATAATATACACTTTCATATTATTTGCTTTTTATAAGCAGTAATTCCTCCCACTGCAAAGCACAGCTAATATAACATTGTATAGAAAATACTGGATGATTTGTGCTGTAAATTGGAGATATTAAGGACACAATTTACCTTCCAAATAACTACAAGCCCCTCAAATAATCAAGCACCACAAGCTGTCTGAGGTAGCAGTTTAATCTGACAGTCCCAAGTAGCTGCGTCCCCGGGGAAAACAAGGCTATTAACCACCATCAGTTATGCTTCAGGTTGACATCTGTGGAAATTTTAACACAGGTTATCCCTCCCTCTGCCTCAATTTTTTTTTTTAAAAGGCCTGTCATCAATTTTTTTGGGGAGAGGATCAAAACGTGGAGCTCCATATACAGCAGTTGTGCTGCAGAACCCTCCAAACAGCCCTGGCCTCTGTAAGCTGAAACTATTGAAAACTGAGGCCTCTCTTACACAAACTTTAATTATTTAGTTCCTTTAATTAACCGATCATCAGACTGCTTTTTGTGCCTGGATTTGTTATGGGCCTGAGAGGTACTTTCTCCTGTATTATCCAGTCAGAATTCAGAGTTATTGGGTCACTCTGGCTGCGGTGGCCCCAAAATATGGCAGAAAACCCCAAATGTGCACAGCCCAACCTATAGCTCAGTGTGGGGCTTGGAGGAGGACACATCCCTGGAGCAGGACACACCCCTGGAGCAGGATTCCCTCTCCCACACATCTCATTTAGCACAGCTGAGCATCCAGCCCTGGGTGTGCACGGTCGCAGAAAAGACCCTTCTCCCTCAAACACATCCTATTTTTACAAAATTCAAGCTTATTTCTCTGCTGTACATAAATGCCTGCCCTTTATTTATTTTCTCTTCAGGGTAGTGTGGCAGCTAAAAAGGGATTTTTTCCCTTCACTTTGCTTCTTTTTGGATGTCTCACCCTCAGGATTTGTATCCTCTAGTCACTCAAGAACCGTATTCTTTATTCTACAACCTCCTCCTCTCCCCAATTCTCCTTTAATTTAAAAGGTTTTCAATGAACTATTCAGTTTTAAGGACAGAAAATATACCCAGTGGTGTGTTTTAAAGCACGACTCTCAGTAAAAATTACTTACTGAGAAGCCAATGAATTCATCAAGGCCTCTTTCCTTCTTAAATATCGAGGCAATTTTATAAGAAATATTTCTAGAAGCACTGACTGATGATATTATACACGAGTTTTTGCTGAGTCTTCCCCCTCCCTCGATGAGTTCTTGGGAGTCTCAGCCCCCATGTTCAGGGCAGGGTTTATTAAAACAGGGGATTAAAAAAAATAAAAAAATAAAAAAATAACCCCCTTGTAAGTACTTTTACGACCCTTTGTGTAAATAACGTTTACATAATTTAAACAGTTTGCTCAGCTTTGCTGCCCCATCTGCCCAAGGCCCCCAAGTCCCTGTTCTCTCGGAAAGGATGCAAGGAAAGCCATAAGGTCTCGGGGAGCTGTGGAGTTAATGACATGTATCATTTACATCCAGGGCATGGCATGTTTGCAAACTGAGCTCACCATTGAGTGATGAAGTGTACAAATGGCTCCGAGAACTCCCCGGCTGGAAGGACCGGCGATTCCTGGGATTGCAGCGGAACAAGGAGCGCAGGCACCAGGCAAAAGAAGAGAATTTTTGTTGGTTTTTGTTGTTTTTTTTTTTTAGGAGAGCGATAAAACAGCAACAACAAACCGAAAAAAACCCCCACCAAAAAACACAAACCCACAAAAAACCCACCCCGAGGAATAATAACCACGAAGCCCCCGTTTCACACTGAGAATTTGAGGGAGAAAGGTACAAATTCTTTGGAGAAACGTGTTATAAAACACTGAATTTCAACTAATGAGTATTACACAATGGGTAAAAACATGTGGAAAGACACTGAGGGGAGGTGAAAAAAGGACAATGATAGCCACAGGGTAAAAAGGAAGGTAGGGAAAGTGTAAATGAGAAATTAATGATTATTTAAGTAACACACAAATGGTCTTGTAATTAACAAAGAGCTGTGAAATTATTCTTGTGTTGACCTTTGTTTCTTTCCCTGCATTCGCTATTTATTTACACTCATGTTTATTTACACTTATTCATTTTAGAGCCTGTCCTCATATGCTGTCTGGGCAGGATTGAAAAGGCAAAAGAATTTTTAAAAGCAAAAAATTTACCAGGCTAGCAGTAGAAAACAACCAGCCAGTATTCAGGAAAGGAAAAAAAAAAAGAATTAAGAGCATAAGAGAGAGAGAAAAAAAAAAAAGCTTCCAAACAGGGAACAAACAACAGCACCATTTGCAAAGAAGGGCTTTACGAATTTAGGAGTTTTTCCAAGAATGACAGAGAGCTCCACTGTGTTTATAGTGTAACAGCTCAGGATGTAATGAAATTACACTGCAGAGTACTTTAACAGTGTCATCTCATTAGACCTACAGTTGGAACAAGAGAGCCACATAAAACACGCAGCTGCAAATGACTCCATTCTCATCTATTCTCATTTGCTATTAAAAATACCTTTCGGCGTCTTTTTTCCTCCCTGACATCCCTCCACAAAGTACCCTGCAAAGTATGATACATGCACCTATTTAAATTAACAAAGGAATGACTTATTTTAATCTCACTGTGCTTTGGAGTGCTTTGGCCATTTGGATGAGCAATATATCATTACATACAACCTTCCAGCGCTGCAGGCAAGAAACTCGGAGCGTGCAGCATTTGGTGGGAGCCAAACAATTTCTCTAGCACACAACTGTGTCAAATGCATGCATGTATTCATTATGGGGAAGGCGAGGAAATAGCTTTGATGTAGTGGAAAAAAGAAGATGATAAAAGCACCTCTGCAATGTGTGTGCCATTATCAATGGTGGCAGATAGACACGACTGCAGAGCCTCCTATGTGATTAGTAAATATACATATAATTGCTGTGGCCAATTATCAGAAAAATGAGATCGGTAATTACAAGACAGAAAATTAACTAGAACTCTTATTAAGGCTTTGTTTCCAATTCGAACAATTGGAAACTGCTGGAAAATACAATTCAATCAAAAGTAACTGAGGAGGAAAAGGAGAAGCCAAAATTGCTTTACAATTTTCAAAGACTTCCATTAAATACAGGGAGCTGTTTGATAGAACATGCCCAAATTCTCTTTGAACTCAGACCGGGTGAAGGAGAGGTTATTGTTTCCAAACTTATAAATGACAGCAAGAGAGGAGGGTTTGTGCTGGAGAGTGGAGGCAACACAAGGAAATCGGCAGTGCAATTAAACTTTCTCCACTTCAAAGAAGTAAATTATCCAGATTAATACAGAAATTGCCAGCCTTGCTCACGTGGAGCCCAGCAGGCTTTGCCTCTCCCCACCATCCTTTTCTCCTGCCCAGCTCAGCCTTCCTGGGCTCCCACCTGAAGCCACTGGGATGGACCCAAGGCAGGAAAGGTGGGAAATACTCCAGGCACATATCACAGTCCATGGGAGCCCGTTCCCTGGGGAACTGGCTCTGCCCAGCAATCTATCCCCGCTGGTTATTTTAAGTAAAAATGCAAGTGAGGAGCTCGTTCCAAGGTAAACATCCCCGTGACAGGGCTGCCAGCTCGGCTGGGCCGTGCTGGGGATCGGGATGGGCAGCCGCCACTTCACACTCATTTGGGAGGTGATAATTTCTGCATTCACAGGAGATGACAGACCCATAATCGAGTGAAACCTCATTATGAGAGGGGAGGAGAAGCTGCTGAGCTGCTCTGAAGCCACCAGCATCCTGCTTTGGTTATCCAAACCCTATGGGCTCATGCAGGCAAAGGGGAGAAGCAGCTCCAACATCAGCACAAAACCCTGGACCACACAGCTCCTGTCCTGCAGCACGGGCAGAGACAAGGGGCTCCTGCCTGACAAAATTTCACCTGGATGAAAGTAAATGTTAAATCCTATTTCTCTCCTTTTTTGGGGCACGTTTTTCTGTTCAGTGCAGGTATTTTCACCCCATGCTGGGCTACAGTAGACCTGTTGGCCACGGCCATGCCTCGGTTGGTTTGCTCTCGGGAGCTCAGGAAGAGATTGTGGGTGGAAGGGTGGACATGAACACTCACTGGATCTCAGTATGGAAACAAGATGCTTTAATCCCAAGGATTTTAGACTGGGCACACTCAATTTCATTGGACATTTGCCTGAAAAACTGAAAGCCTTTTGGGAGGTTCAAGGAGGTCAAGGTTGGATCTCGAGGACACCTCCCACTAGACCAGGTTGCTCAAGTATCAGGATGTGCAAATAGATCCTATATTGTATCCTGAGGTTCCCCAGATGTTGTCTGACACTCAAAGAGATGGGAATATAAGGAAATAAAGCAAAGCTACATTTCTCTACCAAGCAATACAGTCACATTTGATGTAACCACAGGAAATGTCCAGCTGCACCCTCATGACCTGCCTTATTTTCCCCACCTGCCCCATGAAATCACACTGAAGAGGGAAAGAAAGTAAAAACCCAAGACTTTAAGGGAGAGAAGAATAGATGTACTCAATTTTAACTGGGAAATGGATCTTCCATTCTCATTAACTGCTGTATCTTTTGACCAGTACCACGAAGACCTCGATACTGGGGATGGTGCTAAAGTGGTAGTAAAGACACAAACAGTTGTAAGGGTCAATGTACCATTATTCCCAAGCTTCCCTAAGCATCCAAGCAACATTTCCATAACTGGGATCTGCTGCAGGAGAAGACAAGATCAGCCTCTGCTTTCTCCAAATCAGCCCAACTGTGCACACAGAGCGAGACTGGGGAAGGGCAAGAGGAAAAAAGTTTGAGTGATGCCTTTGCCTTGTGAGTAATGAACAGTTCAAGGAGGTCAACCCATTACAACTGAAACCGTTTAATTATTAATTATGCACAATCTATGAGCAAAAGGACAAGTTCAGAATGTTTAATGTGTGGTAACTCCAACTGGACCCTCTCTTGGCATTTTGTTATTAGCACTTGTCAGCAAGGTGCTCAGGCAGAAAGGAAAAAAGCACAGCGGCAGAAAATCTGAGCCAGCAGGAGGAGGGAGGGCTTTAAACTTCAAACACTGCCCCTAATATTTAATTTATAGAGTGCCAAGGCTCTGGGATAAACCTTATTGACTTCCATGGAGTCAGGGGAAGCCACATTATCTAAATGAAGACCCAAGAATGAGAATACTGAGCAATCCTTCCCAAATCCCTCTCTTCTGAAGGCAGCAATAACATTAGGATCTGTATCTTGTTTATTTTCTGGACAAAGGAAGAGTGACCCACCTAACACTGTGTCCACAAGCCAACCAATCCTCTGGAACCTTTGTAATAAGAGCTTGAATTACACATCCAAGCACTATCCTCACCTGTTCCTCAAACCTACTATTTGAAATGTCTCCTGCTCTGTTTGCTATGCCCAAGCAGAGCAGAGGCAGAGATGCTACTGAAGCTCAGAAGATAAATAATGTCTAGCAAAAACACAAATAAACATGGATAAGGCAACTTCCCCCTTTTTTTCCTGTCCATCTTGAAGGTTTACATGGATAAATTCAAGAAGCAGATTCAACAGATACAGTTTGGAGCTGCTGATTTTTTTGAAAACATTCTCATGTCAATGAAATTTGGGGGTCTGCCAATATACACCTGAAGATCCCAGGCCTTACACACCTTCAGGGGTCTTACCCCCAACATATAATTTCTTGACAGCGAAATATTTTCTCAAAACAACTGGAAGGTCGAGATTTCTCACATCCTTTCTGAAGGAGAAAGCCCAGAACCTCCCTATTAGCAGGAAAATCAGCAAATTCAGCTTTCTCCCTAAAACCTTCAGGGTGGACACGGCAAAGCCCCCAGCTAAAAACCCACGTTCCTCCTCCCTCCTCCTTCAGGGCCAGAATTTATCCTGGGAAACCTCCAAACTGGGCAGAAAAAAAGGGGAGAGGTGCCTTATCCATCTTTGTGGGTTTGCTGGACACGATTTATTTCCAGCATCTCTGCTCCGCTCAGGGAGAGCAAACCCAAGGGACGATGGATGAGTCACCAACACATCCCTGGAAGAACCCTGTGGGGCACCAAAGCTTGGAATTCCCAGCGGGTCTGGGTGCAAACGGGTTTTATTCCCTCTCCTGTGCTGGCTCCCTGTCTGTGAAGGGTTAAATTTCCCCACTCCCCACAGCTCCTGCTGTTCTGCAGCACTCGTGCAGAAGGAGCTGCCATGGTCCTGTGGCTCCAGGGCCACAGGAGGGAAGTTACCAGAACCCAGCAAACCAAACTCCAGCTCCTCTCTCCTCTGGGCCTCCCCAGCATTCCCTGCCTTTGGAATTATCGGCTCCTCTGGGTACATACTCCTATTCTGCAACTCCTCCACTGATGCTGAAATGGCACTATTTAATAAATAATGTCTGTGCCTCACAAAGCATTTCTGGCTTAGCATTTCAGCCCACAAAATCTCCAGGATTAAAGAATTTTTATGCACTCTGGTTTCGCTCCTGCTCAAGCTTTCAAAAAATATATTTACTTTTCTGTAGGAGCTGTATTTTACTTTGTGGCCAAACAGTGATTTTTCATTTTAGACAGACAAGTTTTAGATGCACCAGAAATGCTGCCAAGTGCA